AACATCAATCAGTTGTCTCCCATATGTGCCCTGACCAGGAACTGAACCTGCAACCTTTGGTGTACAAGATGATGGTCCAACCAACCGAGTCACCCAGCCAGTGCCATCAACCTCTTCTTGATCTACAGTTACTCTTTGGGAGATCTCATCTACTAGTGTACTGACAGCTTCCAAATGTATGCAACCTGGACCATTCTCCTTTGAACTTCAGATTCATTTGTTCAATTGCTGACTTGACATCTCTTTTATTATGTCTTTGGACATCTCAAAAACTTAGCCAGTCTAGAACAGAACTCCTGAACTCTCCCCAGAAAACTGCTTTGTTAATGACAACTCCATCCTTCCAGTTGCTTAAGCCATAAACCTTGGAGTCATTGACTCCTCTCTTTTCACATTCCACTTCCAATCCAACAGCAAGCCCAGAAGGATCAAAATATAGCCAATTAGAATCAGAGATATCAATATGAATGCATATCTATATTTACATATAGAAATGACTATAGGTATGTATGGATACATAGATTAGTACCAGTACACACACATATATCTTCTAGCACTGCCCTCCAAAAGAGCATCTGGCAGCAGTGATCTTTTGGACTGGAAGTTCTTTATTGTAGGAATTGCTCTCTGCTATAGGATGTTAAGTAGCATCCCTCATTTTTGGTCTGCCTGGCACAGATGGTTGGCTTCTCTTCAGTTGACTGACCCATTCAGCAGTTCACTACAGAAATGTGGGAAATATCCTAAATTTTCAATCTTGCTCAACCCCATAATCTGATTATTTACCCTGTCCTGTTGACAATACTTCCTAAATTTCTCATACATCCACCCCCTCTTCTACATTCATTATTTTTCACCATGAACAGCTTCCTAACTGGTCTTGCTTCTAGTTTTGCTCTTCTCTAATCCAGCATTCACTTCACAGCCAATGATAGGTCTAAAACACAAATCTAATTCTATCACAGCATTATATTTCCCCCCACTAAATTTCACAGCCTTCGAAATAAAGTTAAAGCTCCTTAGTTTGGTTCATAAGGCATCAGTGATTTAGTTTCTTACCACTTCATCAGCCCCTGTTTTAAAACTGTTCTGTCCATATGTGACTATTGAGTGCCCGGTACTTGAATGTGACTAGCCCAAACTGAGATGTGGTATAAATGCAAAACACATACCAGATTCTGAGGATTTAGTATTAAAAAGCAAATATCAAATATCTCAATGATACTTTCTTATATTGATTACATTCCAAAAAGATAATATTTTGGATATATCAGGTTAAATAAAATATATTAAGATTAATTTCACTTTTACTGAGAGGGGGAGGGGAAGAGTCAGGGGGAGGGGGAGGGGAGGGGGAGGGAGACACATCAGAGTGAGAAAGACACATCAACTGGTTGCCCCCTGCACACAGCCCGACCAGGCCAGGGATGTAACCTGCAACCAAGGTATGTACCCTTGACCAGGAATGGAACTCTCGAACCTTCGATGCTAAGCCTATCTATTTTTTAATATTAACTCAAGTAACCCGCTAAGATGTATTTTAGGACATTCCCCTGGCCCCAAGACCCCAAATCTTGGTCAACTACCCTCCCCCTCTCTGCTTCCAACCATAAAATTCTGCATATCCCTGTCATATAACACAGTATGTTGTAATTATTGGTTACCAGCTATCTTCTCCTAAATTGTATGCTCCTTGCAAAAAGGGATATCATTCTCCATATACTCAGGGCCTACCACCATGTCTATCACTTAAAAGACACTCAAAATATTTGTCAAACAAACGTGAACTACCTATTCCTGGCCTGAAAGTTACTAGAATTTCTCCAAGGAAAACAGACCAGCAAGAAGGAGCCTAGACTTTCTATTTATTTTTTTAACTAAAATTTTTTAATGTTGACATTATTGCAGGTTTCCCCTTTCCCCTACCTCCACCCACCCAGGGAGCCTACTAGACTTTCCTAGTAATGAAAGGATTGGGGTGGCGGTGGAAAGTAGGAATTACAGTAAAGAGCAATGAGAAAATAAAGCTCATCACAGACACATGCCTCTTACAGGGATAAGGAGCCATGAATTCATACTTGACATGCCAGGGGCCACAGTTTTGTTCCTAAATTATTTAATCCATCCAACAAAAGAGTTAAAACAACAAATCTCTCATGAAAAATGCTAATCTATGATGTTTCACCATGGAGCCATTTAGAAGAGTTATTATATGTAATGTGCCAGAGCATGAATTTATGGCTGATGCTCATTTGGCAAATGTGGTTGGCACTGCTAGATGTTAAAAAACATGTACGCAAATAAAAGTTTTTAAGCTCTCAGACTTAAATATTTACATTACTATAAATGTACAAAGATAAATGTTTATATGAGTACATATATAACACATTCCAAGAACTATCTTTTTTTAAATTGATTTTAGAGAGGGAAGAAGAAGGGTGGGTTGGGGGTAAAGGGTGGGGAGAAACATCAATGTGAGAGAGATATTTCCCCCTACTAGGGAACAAACGGGTAACCTTCCTGTGCACCTGACAAGGCTCCAACCAACTGAGCCACACTGGCCAAGGCTCCAGGAACAATTTATTAATGTGATTGTCACGAACAGTTATGAAGTGGCATTATTTCTTTATGGTCCTCAGGATGGACTCTTAACATTGAATTCTGATAGAATGTTAATGGCATACAAGAATTACCAAGGAAGTTTCTCTGTACTATCACTGGATAAAATGAATAGCCACAGTATCATTATAGGTCAAAGCAACTTTAGCTTTTCCTTTTGTCAAAACACTTTTCTTCCCATCCTGGAACCCAGTCACACATAAATGTTAACTCCTAAATGGGGGGGGGGGGGGGGGGATAGGGGATAAACCTACACATCTAAAAGCCTTAAAGAAGATGCCCTAACTGGTTTGGCTCAGTGGATAGAGCATTGGCCTGTGGACTGAAAGGTCCCAGGTTCGATTCCGGTCAAGGGCATGTACCTTGGTTGCAGGCACATCCCCAGTGGGGGGTGTGCAGGAGGCAGCTGATCAATGTTTCTCTCTCATGTTTCTAACTCTCTATCCCTCGCCCTTCCTTTCTGTAAAAAATCAATAAAATGTATTTTTTTAAAAATAAAAGCCTTAAAGAAAATAATCTGACATTTCTTTCCCACCTAATATAGTCATGTTAGTCTCCAAAATAAAGACATGATAAAAAATATTTCCTCCTCTTCCCCTCTGACAGTTATGGAAAGATGTTTGTTTTTTCACATAGCTTGTGCATTTGTCATAGCCAAACTTACTAGCAATGGTATGAATCCTGCCTCCATTAATTTCTGGGCTAAGGCTACAACTCCAAATTTGAAGCCAAGAAAATGAACCATTCCTGCCATTATAGTTTACCAAATGAGTCACCAAAGAGAAGTGCTGGGCACTTCAGAAAGTAACTAAGGTCATCAGTGACTTGCGCTATCTAGAAATTCCCTGAGATTACAGGAGAAACGACCATGAAGCTGGTATCCAAGACTGTTCATGGAAAGTTTTACCCTGTGGATAATTCCCACACTGCAGAGAGCAATATGGGTTCTCCAACAACACACATCATTTCATTTATCAGGAAAAAAGACGTTGTGAGCTGAACAAAAAATTAGTAGGTAGGCCCCAAACAGAATCCTCAAGGCAATCCCAATTCAGGAGAAAAGCAATTGACATACATCATCCAATGACCTACAAAATAGCCTTTTATACAAGTCTCCAAAGATTTAATTCAATGTCTACTCTTACATTTAAACAGAAGCAGAAGAAAAATATATTAGGTTTTCTACAGCAAGGCCAATAAAGATGAAATCTAATTTTCCTTTAACTCACGGCCAGCCTTCCAATAACTCCATTTCACAACTCTCAAATTTCTACATTTGGACCTTAAAAATAACAACGGATTGCAAGAAAGTAGCATTTAAAGGTGGGAGGGCTCCTCTTTCCTGTTGCTCTGGGCAGTCTTTAATGTCGCCAAGGGACAAAAATCGAAATCATGCTCTCAGCAGGGTGGTGCAAAATACGAGGGGGGGGGGGGGGGGGGGGGGTGTCAGACGTCAAGTCCTCCTCGCAGGAGGTAAGGAAAGTTGGAAGAACGCATAAATCAAAAGGCAGAGAAGAAACAAAATGACCAACAAAATCACTCAAAATCCCCAAACAACCGAACTAACCCGCAGGTTACGGGGCTCACAAGCCTCAGCCCGAAGTGAACAGGCAAAGAGCTACCGGGTTTCGTCCTGATGTTGCTGGCGAGGCTGCGCCGGATGCTCCCAGATTTGGAGCGGAATATCTGTGCAGACTTAGCAGGACCTAGAGGAGCACTTCCTGCCCTGGCCTCTCGGAGTCCGCCTCCTACAGCCTTCACTTTCTCCAGCAGCCTCACAGCCGCGCCCGGGGGCGTCTTTTGGCGCCAAGTCCCAACTTTCCCTCCTCTGGGGAACGCCAAGCTACCCGGGATGCCAGAGGAGGAAGAGGGGGAGGAGGAGGAGGAGGAGGAGGGGGAGGGGAAGGGGAAAGCAGTGCCGGCTGGCCCCGAAGGCTGCGGGGCCCCGGGGTGGCCTGAGCCGGAGAGCCGGATTCCCCCGGGTCAGCGCTCTCATCCCGCGGGCGGCGACGAAGGTCCCACGAGTTGGAGCAAGAGAAGGGAACGGAAGGGACGCGGGCAGCCCTGCCACCGTTACCTGAGGCACGCACAAGCTGCCGCGGTGACCACCATCGCTGGTGGCCCAGTCCCCTTCTTGGTCACCGCGGCCACCACCGCCACCAAAGCAACTGACTCTAACAAGTAACTACTGGCCCCCACCGAGTCCACCCGGCCGTTCTCAGCCTGCCCGCCTCCGCGCAACTCCGAGTACCGCCCATCCGCGCGCGCACTCGGAGGCGAGCTCCTGGAGGAGCGAGTACGCGCGCCCACGGGCCCTTGACCCTCTGTAGGCAACTTAGTCCCGCGGAAGGAGTTATCGTGTCGCTCTCCCACGTTCCTACCTCAATAAAATGAGGTCCAGAGGGCTCCTGTTTGGCTCAGGAGGTTGGGATGAAGGGACATTTCGGTTCAAATAAGTTCCTGAGGTATTGAGCCAGTGCCAGAGCCCTTCGGTCAGCCTGCGGTGGAATACATAACTTAGGTTTTCAAGGACGCCAGCATACAGTAATTGCCAATTCAAGCCCCAATACTTCCTGCAGGCCTTAGCAATTAAAAACACTACATCTCCCAGAAACCTCCGCGAAAGTGAGTCTCACTTGCGTAACCACGTTGGCCTTCATCGCGTTTGAACAAAATAATCCCTTCATTTTTCTGAAGGTGTCGGGCATAGTATTTCATTTTCTCCTCACCGAAACAACTTTAAGTGTTATTGCGATAACAGAAGTTGCCTGTGGAAAGGTGTTTAAGACGATAAGGTAAACGGAAAGAAAGGACATCATCATAAAGTACTGCGGAGGAATTTTTCTCCAGCTGTGAGACGCCGGAGAAGAGTGAATGCGATTGAGAGAGGCTCAGAGAATTGTCCTCTGTACTGGGGACATTCTTTAGCTCCAGGTTCCTGCCTAGCCCCATCGTCAGCAGGTCAGTAAGCAAGGCGAGTTTGGGGATGGCCACAGTGGAGGTGCCCTTCACTCTCTTTTGCCATTGTTAATTGGCTTGTCTTGGTTTGAAGTTGATTGAATGGAGGCCCCTCACTTCCGGTTGGGGGAGGGGAGGAAGGCAGTCCTCAGGGGAGGAGGAAACATAACTCACTTCCTGTGGGGTTAAAGTGATGGTAGGGTGTCCTACCCACAACCTGTAGTGGCTAGCGCTTGAAAAGGTGATACTTGGTGCCATTTGCACAGACTGTTTTCAAGTTTTGGGGATTATGTCTTATGTGAAAAGTTTGTTTATTAAACCAGTTTGTGTTGCTAATGTTCCACCCTCCAGTCAAAATTTATGTGAGGTTTATTTCAGCATGCAAGATGGAATATTTCCTCCTCGACAAAATTTTTCTTAATGCGTTCTTAAAAGAATTCTAAACCCCTTGTTAAAATTATCTATTCATCTCTGCAAGATGACGCACTTTCTTGTGTGACTCATAATTGCCCACCTCTGCTCCTTACAGTCCAGCGCTCACCTAATGAGGTGTGTGTGTCACTATCTTGGCATGCTACAGGAACTCTGTAGCTACGGCTTATTACAGCACTCGATATTTTACATAAATTATGAGGCATATTCACCTTACATCAGTGGTTCTCATTCTGTTTCTTTGTTATGGAGTGAGGCCACAACATTAGTAACAAAGAAACAGAATTTCCGGAGGCTGAGGCCCAGAAATCAGGATTTTAAAAAGATTCCCAGGTGATTCTAATGTGCAGCCAAGGTTGAGAACCACTGCTTTACCGGAATGAAAGTATCATACTGAAGTACTCACCTGCATGGTATTACCTTAACTAAAATGATTGGTATCTTATATTCTTAGACTTGTTGATTTTAGGCTACAGATTCTGCCCTGTGCCTAAGAACAACTTATTCATGTAAATTCTTACATGTAACACATAGTTTTTGTGAAAGTTAAACTTGAGCACATTTTTCCTTTTTGTAATTTAATTAAATTCAGATAGATTCAAAAATGATATCTAGTTTTAAAACATGGTACAAGGATGAGATTCAGCTCAGATTTTAAGGGCGGGGGGGATTGGCTTACAAAGGACAAAAGGTGAATACATCTATTTTTCCTGTATTCTCATTGTTTTATAAGAAACTATATGCAAAGTGGTAATAAACACTCAACAGTTTTGATCCCGTGGCTTCTATTTTCAAGTACCACAATACTTGAGTGTATGGATGTGTACTGAAGGAATCCATCAATATAGAGCTTAGGAAATCTCAACAACTTTAGTAATTTTAGAATATCTGTCAAATGAACTGTAATGTCTTTCAAGAATTTTTAAAAGAATAAAGCCTGTGTATATTCTCCTTTTGGATTCTTATCTAATTTATCCTTAGAATTTGCAATTATTTTAATTCTAGTTCCTTTAAAAACTTATTTGGTTTAGAGTTTATTAGAAAATATGTTTTTAACTAAATGTTACAGTAAAAGGAAAAAATATATGTTTTAGCCTTCTGTAAATATAAAGGATCTCAGATCCTAAAATCAATGAGTTATCTTTTTAAAGACTACAAAATTTCTGCAGTGGTTGAAAAGGTGAGACAAAATAATGTCTGTTATTATAAGGTTAGGGGCATGTAGACTGCCTCAAGCAAGTATTAACTAATTGATTAGAGAGAATGTGTTCACTCTCTTCTTTATTAGTGTAATGTATGATCATTCTGACAAAGTAAACTATAGTATTAGGATTATTGAAGTAAGTAAAGATTATGGAGCTAACTTGAAAAGATAGAGAAAGATATTAAAATTTTGATTGAGATACATTGATATTACCTTTTGGAAACTGTCTTTGGGAAGCAAAGGAGTTTTTTAAATTGGTTTCTATGCTATTCCATGGAAGAAATGCACATAAATAAAAATTGCTGCAGCTGAAAGACTTGATAAGTGGCAGTTATTTATTGTTTCCATCAGATAAATATTAGGAAAGCTTATGAAAATATAAGGTAAGTCCATGGAAAAGTGTTCCTGTGGAGAGGTTTACTATCTTCCAAAGGCTTCTTTTTAAATATTTTTTATTGTAGTTTTCATTGCATGTTTTAATAGAAACATACTATCAAAATTAGAAAAATGCTTCTGTAAGTGTGCTCTTATTATCTTACAGTTAATAAATTTGAGATTTTTCATTCCATTGCTCTTGTTATCTTAGTTAATAATTTGAGATTTTTTTATTCATTTCATTGTGCATTTTTTAGAGTATTTAGATTAGATAATCATTTTCTTTTCCAAAAGTAGTCATTGAATACACTGGTCACAACAGTTTGAAATATTAAAACAGTAAGTCAAAATTCTGGATTCCATCACACTGAAATTTGATTAGCCATTAACCACAGAGTGCTAGAAAAAGTGTCTTTTTATTCTTTTCTCACCATTCTTTATAAAGTCATGCTAATGTTTTACAGCTATTGCTATTTATTTATTGTTTTAGTAGTTTTTGCCATGAGGCCCAGTGTTAAAGAGTATATCCTAACAATTTGAGTGTTTGTTCAAATTTACTCCACTACTGTCCCTTACATGACTTTTCCATTATTTCAACACTAGAGGCCCGGTGCACGAATTCGTGCACCAGTGGGGTCCCTCGGCCTGGCCTGCGGGATCGGGCCAAAACTGGCTCTCCGTCATCCCCTGAGGGGTCCCAGATTGCGAGAGGACGCAAGCCAGGCCAAGGGACCCCACCGGTGCACTATCGGGGCCCGGGAGGGATGCAGGAGGTTGGCCAGCCGGGGGGGACCGAGGGAGGACCCCAGGGCATGTCTGGCCCGACTCACTCAGTCCCGATTGGCCAGACGCCAGCAGCAAGCTAACCTACCGGTCAGAGTATCTGCCCACTGGTGGTCAGTGCACGTCATAGCAAGCAGTTGAGCAACCTTAGCATATCATTAGCATATTACGCTTTGATTGGTTGAACAGATGACTGGACGACCAGACACTTAGCATAATAGGCTTTTGTTATGTAGGAAAAGTTTATTGACTGCATATTATGTGCTAATCACTGTTCTAAGGACTTAGAATAATACATCAGTGAATACAGACAAATATCCAAATTCTCTTGAAGTTTACTCTAATTTCCAAATTAAAACTGGAATTTTGCTCCCTTGGTATTCCTAAGTAAGGTCTATGGTATGATCATTTTTCAAATTGAGTCAAGAAGCTGCCCTAACCTTGCTCTCTCTTGGTGTTGATCTCTTAAGCCATTTTAAACCCAGTTTTGAATATTTCAGCCTAGTTTTTCTCCAGACCTTATAAACCTATGTGTTGAATATTCAGCCCTTTTCATTGACACATGTGTGGTAATCCTACCACCCTAGAATCATTTGTATGGTAAAAACAAATCAAAGTGAATACTGGGAAAAATGTGGAATCAGGCTGGATTTGGTTCAAAACTGGTGTCGACATTTTACTATCTAAGCTTACTAGCTTGGCAACCTTGAGCAACTTACTTGACCTACCTGAGCCTCAGTTGCCATAAACCTAAATGGATTTATTCAGTAAATCAAGGATATTATATAAAACACCTACCACAATGCCTGGAGTAAGGAGCATAATGAATGCTATCATTTTCCCCTCAGTCTTACTTCTGCTATTCTGTCTATTGGGATTTGCCCACATATTTAAGCCTTACATATTCCCAGAAGGATGGGATACAGTACATACTAGGACTATTGAAATTCTTCTGTCTCTCCCCAACAACATGCTCACTTAACTGTCAAAATTTTTAGTTTCTTGTGGAAATGAGATATCATTAATTTCAGTGGTCACTTTAGAAAATATACAAAATAGAAAAGTTTTAAGAAATGGTTTGGTGAGGAGTCGCCAAAGTAATTTGAATTATTATAGGAAGATATTTAAACCATTCTTCTAATGCTAAGCCTAATATTTAATGTCTTTCACAATATGACCATATCTCTAATTACCTACTTACGTATCCCTAACTGATTGGTTTCTGAAAAAAGAAAATTAGTTCTGTATCCAGTCTTTTCTATCTTTGTTTATGCTATTTTCTGCCTGAAAAACTTTCTCTTTTCCCAAGAATCTCTATCAAAATGCAACTTTCTTCGGGCCCCTTTCTCAAGTACCACCTTCAACTTCAAGAAATATTTCCTGATGTCTGTCTTCTCTTTCCACTCTCTCAACCATATATGCTCTGTTCATTGACCCTCCATTTTGTTCTTTTCTTATGGGACTTACTATATAGTGCTGTCACTATTGTCGTTGTTTGTTTTTGTCATTGTTATTGTATATAGAGTTTATGTACTGCCATAAAAGGCTTCAGACTCTATCTCAGTCCTATTTGTGTCTCCTGTCATACCTGGCCCAATGCCATTCAAATCATAAATATTCAGTAAGTATTTGTGGAGTTGAACTGGCACTTGGGGTAAGATAAAACTAATCAATAAGTTTTATCCATTATTTATGCCCAACATTAAGCATAAAATACAGACTCAAATATCAAGTGAAAGAGTGAATAAGTCATCATTTTTTCATTTGTGGGTATCTCAGGGTGTCAGTATGTCGATGAGCTGAACCACCTACGTATGAGCTGAACTATGAGAACT